GAATCCGTTAGAAATGTACACAGAGATCGCAATTAACTTTGTGATCTGGATTATCTTTGGAGGCAGGCTGAAAAGCATGCTTCCTACTAAAATGACACAGGTTTTCATTTCTAGATCTCCTTGCACAGGGTTGCAGACTATCAGCCTTCATCACTATGGAGGAAAAAATGGTATCACCACTAAGGTCATTAAAAATAGAAAAAAAGAGTGCTTTTGTTGAGTGACTGCTGCCACAAACCTTCTCTCAATTCCTTCCATCTGTAGGAATTGAACTGAATGTAGTGCAGTGTAGAAGGGGTCTTTAATTGATTTGCAGCCACTTAAGTTTCTTGAAGAAATAGCACTTATCACCGAAGTGAATGTGAATAAATGGGATTCAGTTGCTATCTTAACATGAACCTCAGCATTTCATTCTGAAAGACAGGGTAACTCATAACTAATTATTTCATTTTCTCATAATAAATATTAAATCTTGAAAAAATCACTTGTACAACTTCTTACATTAATATCTCAAAAGCATGTCAAAATGAAAAAAAAATCATGTTTTGCAGGGCTTTCAAGAAGGATTTTGATATATGTATCCAGGTATTTATTAATTTCTGAGAGCTACCATTTTTATAAGGTATTTAACCGAATCAAGTCATCTGTGCCGAGGCCATAATTACCTTTGAGAGTGGAGAATGTTCAGAGCTCTATCAGTATTCATGGCACGGGAGGAATAGTAAATCTTGTGATACTGGGTATTATTTCCACTTCCACGAGGCCATACAGACTGAATCCACATGGGAAGCCCCCTTTCAAATGAATCTTAGCCCTCTCTTAACACACAGACCACGATGGCTGCACAATTGAGTTCTGAACAATCTGCAGACTGTTTTGGGAACCAGTATTACCTTTTTAGCACAGCAGCTAAAACATCTATTTAGGGCATTCGAGCATGACAAGCAGTCTCCTGTTTTCAATCTCCACTCCTCCAGTTATCTCTGACTATTAGTTCTTTCACAGGTTATGAAAATCATAAATCATTAACCCAGATTTTTAATTTTAATTTTTAATATACACTTGCATAGGGTAAACAGTCATATTCCTTCTCATAATCAGTGAAACACATGCTGCGCAGTGGATTATATTCTCATGCTTTTCCTATTAAAAACTGCATCTTAAATCACACCACAATATGGTCCCTTGCAGGACTCGGTACTTAGGAGTATTGTGATTTGTGTCCTTCAATCCTCATCTAGTGATTGCATAATTGTTGTCTTTTCATCTTTTACGGTCTTTAAATCCTTCCCCTTTACTAAAGCTCCTTTTTAGTGTATTGCATATGACAAGTCACTCAACACATGCTGAATTCTTCTACTATAAATTAATTGCTGAAAAGAGTGGGGAACAAATAAAGTATTATTAGTGCATGCTGGGAGGCATCTAGCACAAATCTGTGGTGTTTCCTGCTACATTCGTTTGCCACAACAAATTCAAGGCTAGGTGAAGTGCTCTTTAATATTTCATTCTCAAGTCTGAGGTGCATTCTCTGGCTGTCCAATTTCCTCCACTTGACTTTATGGCAGAAAGTGAAACTACGTTCCCACCAGCTGTTCCCATGTCAGAGCCTGTGCATCTCTCCTTTCCCTTCTTCTGAAGGATTTATCTTTCATACACCACCCACACAGGACGGGGCAACAGTCGCAGGCACAAAGTTTAGATTTGGATCAGAACAGCCTCAGGGGCTGCAAATCTGGGAATGTATTTTGGCTCAGGACGATCAATGTTCAAGACCCGGACTTTGTCCTCTCTTTATGGAGAAGGAAACACACAGCTCAGGTAGAAGCTGTGTGGCTACAGGATAAAACCGATAAAGAGGCATTAATTGCCAAATACCGTACCCTGCAGAAATCTTCATCCTCACCATGGGGCTAAAGGGCTAATGTCGTAGCACACAGATTTTGCTGTTTGGATCATAAGACAATGTTTTTTTCTTATTGGATTTTTGACAATTTTCTTTCCATTCTTTGGTAGAACTGTCAATATGGATTCAGTGATATCCTCTTTGTATTGCACAACAGGCATCGCTCTGCCATCCTTTCCATGAAAGAGAACAAAAAACTAATTGGCCTATTTATAAACGTCCTGTAAGAAAACTTCCTTTTGTCATGGCTTAATGATTCATAATAAGGTAAATACTAGGTTATTATTAATTGAAGTTTTCAAGTAAATTTCAACAAAAAGGGTAAAATGACCTTCTGAGCAATTTAGTAGAAGATAAGTATATTTTTCTTATTGCATTATTATTATTTTACCAAAGAAAGCTTATAAACTAACAGAGAGATTGAGTCTTCTGTTTAAGTGGAGAAGTAAGCTCTCTGGTGTTCCTCATGCTAGCATGTTAAGTTTTTATAGCAGGTAGGTTTTTAAAAAAGCCAGAGAAATATTTCCTATCATCCAGTACTCATGCTTAAATGCAAATTATTTGTCAAACAAGTACATACCTAATTTCATTTTTTTTTTGTAAAATTGACCATCAGACATCATTCAGTCACCTGCCTCTACGCTCCTCCAGCCAGTCAGTTACGTTCACTCCACTGAACCCAAAACAGCTCTCCCAGGCTGTCAAGGTGACAGCTTTGGTCGATGTGGAAGTAGCCAAGTCCTCCAGACAGTGATGGGAGATACTTTGGAAGTCCTCTGCGGTCCCCTCTCCCCACCACTCCTACACTGCACATAGCTACCCCCCATGATGAGACGTTTGACGAGGCCACCACCATCTCTCTCCCCCTTCCAGTGCTCCCCTCCACATCCTGTGACTTGCAGAGGAGGGAGAAAGGATTTGGCAAGCCCTAGCTGGATGCTGGGGCTTGTTCCAAATGCCAGGGTCACTACTGGGATTGGGTGTTGGTCATGGGGTTGAATGCTTCATTCCCCTTGGAGACTTGCTGGATGAAGTGACACTCAGGAGTCTCTGAGTCATCTTCCAGCAAAGGCCCTGAGAGGTGTAAAAGCTGCAAAGATGTTACCTCTGCGCTGCTCCACAGTAAAAAGGATCACGCTGTGCCTTCCTCGCACAGCCACAGGTAGTAATCCCAACTGGATAATGACTTGAAAATTAAACTGAAATCTCCTCATTTAACTGTACTGCAATGTCTGTGTGCCTCATTGTGTCCAAATCAATATGGTTCCAAGACAAATAAAGAGAAAAGGCTCAAAAGCTGGGCTTCAGGCCAGCAAACACCACTGCTGTTGAACTGTGTTGCAGATGAAGCCACTTTAGTTGCGTATAAGTTCCAGACAAGCGGGGCGGGACGTTGGAATTACATGACTAACCTCTCTAAAGGTTTAAAACCAGTATGTATACCTTGTTAATGAGTCTGACACGACACCATGTAATCTATGGAAAAACCATCATTCTTCAATAACAATCACTGAAATCTCTTTACTATGAAAACTTTTTCATCAGTCTAAAAAATGTTTTGACTAAACAAAGTTCTGTTGTCACTGGAAAGTTGCTAAATGCAGGAAGAGTTAATTTTACCAAAGAAACCCAAAGCGGTGACTTCCAGAACTCTTATAGCCAGGCTCTGCATTATAATGAACTCTCTATGATAACATGCAAAAATATCCTTTTGAAACAGCACTCTGCAAGTCAGTGGCTATCAGGAACTGTAACTGATCACTCACCCCTCTACAACTGGTACCTAACAGGCAAGAAATCAGGTATTTAATGTGGCCAGCTAGCAGCAATATCCCCACCAGGATTTCTTTTGTCAAAATGACTGGATACCAGTGAAGATTCATACTTTGAGTTAAGTTGGGTGTTTCACCTCTCAGAAAAATCAGTGCAGGACAACAGAATCTGCAGGAAAAGGATTTGAAGGACCAAAGCTATGAGCCTCCTCTCTCCGTGGACTCTGCATGGAGCTTAGTTTCATTGTCGAGAGTCAAGTATGTTGGAAATTGTCAGTGAGACCTTTCCTCCAACTCAAGAAAAACTGAAATCACAGACATAAATCTGATTGGAAAGACAAACAGATGATCCCAACTAAGGTTAGCATTTCTTCTAATGCATAGAAGCATATTCGACACCCCTGACATCATTCTGAAGTTTCTGAAATAGGGGAGCACATCAGACTATGCATTAACACCTACACATATGTAAAAATAAACTTTAAAAAGACTTTCGTATGTCATATGTGTTTTCAATAAACAAAGTTTTAGTTTAACTTGATGGAATTTACATTATGTTTTCTTTTTAAGTTTAGTCTCTGTCACACAAATGAAGTTTCAGGCAGTTGCTTTGTCTGCCTGATACATTCCCAACCTCCTTTAATATTTCTGTTTTCACCGGTTCTAGGATTTCTTTGTTGTTTGTTTTTCTTTTATAATCCAGGACACAGTTAGCTCTCAGCTGATACGGCAATTCTCTGAAGAGAGCAATCCTTCTTCATAAGTCTGGCTAAGGCCAAAAATAGCTCTGTCAGCTTCTGACAGGCTGAACTTAGCCAAGTGAAATGTTTTAACATTTTATCATCTTAATGAACAGGCTTATTTATAATGTGGACAACTTTGCTGTCATTGTATGCAGATTGCTGAATAGATTATGGAATGCATTTGTTTGAGGAATGCTCAATATATTAAGAAATATAATTTTTGACCAAAGGGCAGTTGTCGTCGATGCTGTAAACAATTTTAAGATGAAATGTTCTTAGCCCGTTTGAAATAAAGAAGTAGCTTAATGGTAACATCTGTAACTGTGAAAATATTTGAAGAAAAGAACCTTGCAATGATAAATAACTAACCTCCAAATCACAGAAATCTGCAATATGCAAAAATTACCATTAAAAAAACCTATAACCACTTTATAATATTACTATTAAAGCAATACTGGAAGTAAATATGTAGACTAAATATCTACAGATACCTTTAGCACTTTATAGTAGAGGGGAAGGGTTAAAAGTACAAAATAAAAAGTCTAACAGAAAAAAGAGTGTGGGTTAACAATTGCTTACCCTCTTTTCTGCTACCTCATCCTCTCCTGTAGACTCTTTGCCATCATGTTCATCTCTCAGGGTTGGCATATGTTTTTTGTGTGCTGGCTCTCTGTTTAAAGTTGTATATCCTATGTGTTCATAAATTGGATTTATTGTCATCTTGGCAATGTATTCAGCTGCCTTCGTTTCAATATAGAGAGTAATCAATCCATCTGTCACCAGGTCATGGATGGACTCAAAACGTTTCTCCCCAACAAAGTGCTTTCCATCGTAGTAGAGTCTGAAGTTTCTGGTTTGACTTCCAAATCTGCCTCAATGAAATGGGAAAGTTTTTTTTTAAAGAACGGTAAGCAGAATAAAGAAGAGTAAGCAAGCCTTTGCAAACAATAAAAAACACTTTATCACTTAAAGCTGTGACTATGCTCTGTGCCTGGTCCAGACAAGAATGAAAACCTCAACTACTACTTAGCACAGATAGGAAGGAGAGATCAACAACAACTGCAGACAGATAGCCAAAACAGCGACCGTCCCAGAAGGAGCTGTTTGTTCTCTTATTCTTTCAGCCCCTCCATTATCCCGTGGAAAAAGTGAAAATTACTTCACACTCTTTATGCCTTTTTTAGTACTTTACTGCATGGCCATAGTCAATTTGCTTGGCTCTGATACGAAGAGTTCTCATAATAGAGTCCTCTATTACAGTTGATCAATACGGAGTTTTGACGCCGTCTCGGACCCCTGCGCCCCTGCTTGCTTGCAGGAAGAGGCCATTCAGGGTTCAGCTGAGCTTTGGTGCCAACAATTACACTGAAGCGGAACCGCTGCCAGAACTGGAGCAGCACAGGACAAAATGGCACAAGGGCAAGCATTCTTTATTCCTGGCCAAAGGCCAAGGACTAACTCTTCAAGCTTTGTACAAAAGTCCTTCTGTGTTATGCTTGTTAAGTTCTGAGCTTCAAGCAAATCTTTGTAACATACAGGATATATAATGCGTAAGCTATCTGACACCAGCAATTCCGCAGGCGGGGTGGAACAGGTTTCTTGTGGCCTCTTAGCAACCACAAGAATGCCAGTTTTACCTGAATACTAGCCTATTTTCAAAAACCGTACTTTCAATCTGCTACAATTTTCTGCCTGAAAGCAATCTAAACGTGTGAAAACACGCCAGCGCTGGCACTTGGCAACGACCGACGCATTTCCTGCGGAGAAGATGGAGGCAAGAAGCTGCTTTCGCAGCTCACCGCAGTGTCACTCCTTGGTTGGGCAGCAGTGAGGGCTGCTGCACAGGGTATCGGCCCCCTTGTAAGGTCAGATCTGCCAAATAAACAGTAAAAACTGAATCTGAAAGGATGGATTGCTTTCATTTTTCAATCAAACGCTTCACAAGAGACGTTAAGGAGCAAAGCAAACACCGGTGCTTTGCTGAAGCGGCTCCTTTTCAGTGGGGCTTGCCGAACGGGGGAAAGCATCATTTTAGACCTTGCCTCAGGTGAGATATTGCACTCTTCTTGCAAATATGGGCAAACCCACTTGTTCTGTGACGTATATTGTTTTTCTTGTGTTCTGAATCAAAACGCTAAACCTTCCCATCCCCCTAACAATACTGACAGTGACTGTAACGTCAGGAGCTGCTATTTTTACACAATGCCCAAACATGAGGGGGCCCTCAAGAATCCGTGTCCTGCTCAGTAAGAAAAGAGGAGAGGATGTGTAGGAACTACCTGGGTGTTTTACTGGAAATGAACTGGTACTTCTATGCACGTTTTTATGCCACACAAACTAAAAGTTCAATGAATCAAACCCAAAAGCAATAAATTACCAAATGACAGAAAGAAGTAAGTTTTTACCCAACGCTAATTTCATCAGAAGATGCAATTGTTAGCGAATGCAAGTTCTTCAGAAAGTAGAAAGATAATGTTGTAAGTTACAGCAGAAGGGGCAGAAATATGTTCAGGCTCATTCTTCAAAGCATCTTTCTGCTCAGAGTGATGTGCGGCAAACGAGCTTTGACCATGAGATGCACTCCGTGCACACCCTTCACTGTCAGAGGAGTCAACGTGCGAGGGTGCTCAGCGCTCTGCAGTGCCACAGCGAGCAACCTTCACTGTCTTCTGCTCAAGTTAGAGGGAATAATGTACATAGAGCACATACAAGCACTGTGATGTTAAAATTTGACAGGAGAGCCAAGTAAGTCTGAAGGTGAAGAATAATGGGCCTTAAATGACAACATGCAATAGAATTATTTTTATTAAGAGATGTAGCAGGTGAACTGCTGCTCTAATCAGTAACATATGCTCTGACAGTACTTACAGCAGAGTTTTAAACAAGCTGAAGGTCACTTATTGCTCTTAGCTTTCCCGAAGAGAAAGTATTACACTAATCTTATCGAGGGAAGATAAGGCACAGAAAAGCTTCTCAGGGTCTATGACTAAGTACACGCAGTGTCTTTAGTAACATCCTTCAGAGTCTAAAGCAAAGTTCTGAAGAACAAGACGGCCAAATGCAGAGAACGAACAAAAGTTTTTAAAGGATTAGTCCTCCTCCCATCAGGGTCAGTAGGTGCATGGTTCTACCCCAGCTGTGTTTCACTGAGCAGCCTCTACGCTGTAACATCTGTTCAGACTGCTGCGCATAAAGTGTGTCTTTAAGAGACACCACAAGGAATAGGATTCCCAGAAGTACGTAATCTTTATCCCACTGCTCCTGACCCACATTTCTGCACACGAATATCTCATAGACAACATTCCACAGTTTTAATTCTTTAACAGCATCCCACACCTAAACTCATCTCTCTCGGAAACCTCACAAACAGACTGAAACTTCCTCCTGTATGGATCTGGGGAACTGCACATCGATTTCTTTTGGCATGTGTGGCCTTCCAAAAGTACATTCAACTTCCTTGGTTTAAAATACATTGTGATAATTTAACAATTACCACTTAAAGAAAGGTATCCAGGCAAACAAATTACTCTGCATCAGTGTCATAACCACTTGGAAAAGGTGCTTGCATATCAGCTGCAAGAGGTGAACATTGAATGGTTCGCCTTTATCCAATTTCCCATTTGTTCCAAATCAAACTTTTTTCTGTCTATTTGTTTCTTATTGGATACGTTGGGGGGAAATGTATTGTTTTTCAAAGAGAATCCTATTAGAAACAAGGAGGAAAAAACCCCCAAGTCCCCGCAAATCAATGAAACACCAATCTCTTACAAAGACTGTACGATCAATAAAGTATCTCAAAATCCTGTTTTATTTCTTTCAAACTCATTTAAATTTCTTTCTGACCACACAATGATACTGTTTTGATCAAATTGCAATATAAATGCAAACATGCACGTCCAATTGCAAATGACCAATTAAAATTTTATCTTCGGTCCCTTCAGTCTTACTCAAAACTGTGGTTTAAACGTTTCAATTAGCAAGAATATTTCCTTATGTTTACTTTCTATAACATTACTGCAGCCTGGTTAATTATACATCACCGTGGCAACTAAGTAGAGCCAAGATTTCACATTTCAACTTCCTGATGGTCTCTTCCTAAAGGCAAGCACTAGTACCAGCTGGTTTTTGTTTAAGAAATAGAAAGCAGGACAAAGATAATGTATGTTCTCTTTTGGTTTAAACAGAGGAACATTAGATGTTTTTCCAAGAAAAAGAAATAGACCTCTGACACGTCAAACAGTCTCATTGTGTCTACTGTGCGTTTGTTTGCAAGCAGCAGGACTACAGATAAAAGACTTTTTTTATTCCGAGTTGTCTGAAAAGCAATCACTCTGTCTAGTCCCTTTGGTTGCCAGTGGGGCAGAGTGGATAACAACGTGGGAAAACGGATTAAATGGTAGAGCAAATGTGGCTAGTAATAAAGGACGGAGGAGTTGAATGAGGTATCATAGCATGAGAGAGACAGGCTTCTGACTCAGCCACCTACTCTGTATGCAGCATTCACTGACGAAACAAAAGGAAGAAGTGAGGGACCAAGAGCCCATCCGCACTTTCTTACCATCTAAGAAGATGGATTTAAGAGTCCACATACAGAACTGTACAGTAGCTATTCACCTCTTTCACAGGCTGTTTTATGATGAGAAGAGTATCTAGACAAAAGCATTATTTAAAATGTGTAGCTGCAACTAGACCACAAAGTTAACTCCCCTTGGGGCTGCCTGTGTCCTCATTAGCTTCAAGCAACTTCATACACTGAGCTGGGAAATCTTAAGTTCTGTACATGTGCCTGAAGGTCACTTGGACTTAATCTTCCCTTGGAGAAAAGCTGTCTTAACATGCTTTGCAACCAGAAGGTAGAAGTCTCACTTAAAATTAGGTGCCAGATTTTCAGCTTTACCTTCCGAAAACTCTCAACGAACACTTAAGACTAGAGTCTCAACAAGCCATAAAAAGCCACAGAAATACAAACAATCTTGCAATCAGGAATATCTCCTAATCTTGCTGTGTTCATGTGAAAGAAACCAAATTATTCCACAGATCCTCTTTTGGCCCATTTTCTTGTCAAAGAAACGCAGGTCTTGCATGCAGCCAAAATCTCTTCTACACAGTTATCCCTGAACGTCTCCAACTCCGGAGAGCAGACCATTTTTTAAAATTATTATCATTCTCATTATTATTATTTATTGGCAACAACATTTCTGAGGATGGCTAGGGAATCATGGAACTTGTTATCTTCCCAGAGTACCTACCTGACAAACAGCACCATCTCCAAAACTTTTGCAGTAGTTTCTAAGAACATAATATGCATAAATGATATCAAATGCATTAGGGACTGAGAGTAAAGGTGCATTTTATACAAGTGGAGATAGAAAAAACCTTCATTGTCTGATATGGCTGGGACAAGTGGCAGACTACAGTCACTACAGATAGTTTTCCTGTGTCATTTGGAAGGGCAGCATTAGCTGGCTGGTTGGCTGGCTGTTGCTTGATGAACATTAATTAGGTATAAAGTTATCCCTAAAACCTGATCAGACCCATGCACTGACTCAACGCATGATAGTTTAGTTTAGCAGGGAAAAAGTGTGGCATCCTTCAGAACAGAAAACAAATCCCAGAGCTGGAACTGCAACGTGTCTACCCCACGCCACTGCAGACAGAATCTTCAGCTTGCTCTGTCTAATCTAGATCAAGTAAAAAAAAAAATTCAGAGCTGGTGCTGTATTATTGACAACAGCCTCCCAGCAGTCTCTCTCAATTGAGACGGAAGACTGTTTACCTGCATCACTGCCCAGACTTCCTTGTCCGAGAGGGAAACAATAGTGTGCGAACAGCACGCTGCGAACAGCGGGCAGTGAGGACCAGAGCAAT